ACCAAAATGAGATGAAGATATTACAAGAAAATAAAACTGCAGACTGACAACCTCAAGAACCTCCTAGCCAAATGAATCCAGTAATATTAAATGGATAATGCACCATGACCAAGTGTTGTTTATCCTCAAATTTTAAGGCTGGTTCAAAATTCAAAAATGAGTTAACGTAATTCACCATACCAACAGACGAAAGAAGAAAATCATTTTCATCTTAATAGATGCAGAAGAGAATTTAACAAAATTCAATACCAATTCATGATAAAAACTCAGCAAACTAAGAATTAAAGGAACTTCTTCAACTTGATAAAGGACATGTACAAAAACACCTACAGATAACATCATATCTATTGTGAAAGACTGAATGTTTTCCCCCTAAAATTTGAAACAAGGCAAAGATGTCCTGCCTTACAATTTCTATTCAACATCGTACTAGAGGTCCTACCAGTACAACAAGGCAAGAAAAATAAGTAAAGTGGATACATATTAGAAAGAAAGATATAAAATAATCTCTATTCCTAGATGGATGATTACCCATGTAGAAAATCCCAAAGAATATATAAAAGGCTACCAGAATGAAATAAGTGAATTTAAAAACATTGCAGAATATGAGGCCAATACACAAAAATCAATCATATTTCTACATACTAGCAATGAACATTAGGAAATTAAAATAATAACACCAAAAACATAAAATACTTAGGTAAACATTTTTAAAAAATGTATAACTTCTTTATCCTGGAAGCCACAAAACCCTGATGAATTAAATCAAAGAGGATATAACAAATGAGGAGATATACTGGATCCATGGATTAAAAGATTCAATATTGTTAAGATGTCAATTCCCCCTAAACTGATCTATAGATTCAATGCAATCCAAATTTAAAAATTTCAGCAAGACTTTTTTGTAGAACTAAACAAGTTGATTCTAAAGTTTACATACAAAGGTAAAAACTATAATAACCAAAACAATGTTGAAAAAGAAGTTCAAAGTTGAAGGACTAACATTACTTATAAGACCTGTTATAAAGCTAAAATAATCAAGACAGTGTGGTATTGGTGAAAGGACAGAGAGCCCAGAAATAGTAATTCAGTGGGGACAAAATAGTTTTTACAACAATGGTGCTGGGATAATTGGATGTCTGTATTACAAAAACTTAACCTCAGTCCATATAACTTCCAAAACTTAACTCAAAATGAGTTATAGACCTACATACAAAACCTAGAACTGTAAGTTTCTGAAAGCAAACACAGAACATCTTTGTGAACTTAGGTTACGCAAAGATTTCGTAGCTGCGATGCCAAAAGTACAATACAAAAAATAAAAAATTGATAAATTAGTCTTCATCAAATTAAAAACTCTAATCTTCAAGAGACATTTCTAAGAGACGAAAAGACAAGCCACAGACTGGGAGAAATTATTTGCAAACCATATATCTGAGAACAGAGTAGTATCCAAAATATATAACAAACTTGCAAAAGACTTGAAAAGATTCTTCACCAAATGGCAAATAAGGACCAAAACAGATGCTCAATGTTATTAGTTATTAGAAAAATGGAAATTAAAAACAATTAAGTGCCACTACAGACCCATCAATGGCTAAAAGGAAAATATATACAGACAGTCCCCTCTTAATGATGGTTTGACTTAATGATTTTTCAACTTTATGATGGTGCAAAAGCAGTACTTATTCAGTAGAAATTGCACTTCGAGTACCCATAAAACCATTCTGTTTTTTACCTCCAGTATTCAATAAACTACATGAGATATTTAACATTTATTATAAAATAGGCTTTGTGTTAGATGATTTTGCCCAACTGTAGGCTAATGTAAGTGTTCTAAGCACGTTTAAGGTAGGCTAGGCTAAGCTATGATAGGTTAGGTGGGTTAAATGCATTTTCAACTTACGATATTTTCAATTTACAATGGTTTTATCAGGACATAACCCCATCATCAGTCAAGAAGCATTTGTATATATTTACATACAAGGGTACTTCAGAAAGTTCATGGAAAGATTCATATTATCTTTTAATTCTATTTTTCCATGAACTTTTTGAAGTACTCTCATATATACTGTATGTATGCATACTTACATACATATATGCAAACATACACACACTGATATATACTAAGTGCTGGCTTAGTATGGATGAAGATCAGCTAGTGGTCAGAATGTAAAATGACACAGCCTCTTTGGACAGTTTCTTATAAAGTTTCTTATAAAATTTTCTTATAGGCCGGCCCGGTGGCGCACTGCACTAGTGCGCCGCTTGGGAAGCGCGGCGGCGCTCCCGCCGAGGGTTTGGATCCCACATACAGACCGGTTCCCGCTCACTGGCTGAGCGAGGCGCGGGGGCAACACCGAGGGTTGCGATCCCGTTGCTGGTCCCGGTCCGGTACGGGGGCGACACTGAGGGTTGCGATCCGTTGCCGGACACGGAAAAAAGACAAAAAAAAAAAAAAAAATTTTCTTATAAAGTTGAATGTACACTTATCATATAACACAGTAATCCTACTACTCGGTATTAGTTAAATGCAACAAAAATTTATGTTCACACAAAAACCTGCATGAGATTGCATATAGTGGTTTTATTCATAATTGCCCCAAACTGGAAAAACCCAAGTGCCCTTCAACAAAATTAAGCATGGTACATCTCTACAGTGGAATACTACCCAGTAAGTAAATGGAAGAAACTATGGCATAGACAAACCTCCAATGAATTATACTAAGTAAAAGAAGCCAGAATCAAAGGTTATATATTCTGTGATTCCACTTTATGATCCTGGCATAGGCAAAACAACAGGAATGGAAAACAGGTCAGTGCTTACTGGAGCCTGGGAAACTGGGAGGGTTTGACTAAAGGTGGAATAATTTTATTAGTTGATAGAACTGTTCTATATCTTGATTGTAGTAATTACACAGATGTATACATTTGTGAAAACTCATAGACCTGGATACCAGAAAGGTTATACTTTACTGAATGCAAATTATACCTTATTTTAAAATGATAAAGGAGAGGGCAAATTATTCAGTGTAAATCAAGGAGGGTCTCCTTTTACTTTCAACAGTTATATGCAGTTCAAACTTCAAGCTGCCTTCATCACTTTCTAGCTATCACTAAATCTCCACATGGTTCCATGGGCCTCAGTTCAATCATTTCAAAGTGAAGATAATAACAGTACCTATCACATAGCGAGGAATAAATGAGTTAATACAGGTAAAGAAAGTATTTACAGCAGTGCTGACATATAAAAAAGATTCAATAAATGCTATTTGCTATTTCTGTTATTACAATGACTATTTTGCTACCTTTGTTCTTGATGTTACCTTAATTATTCTTCCCGATATTTTACATATGTATAATACTCAAATTCATGGCATGGCAGTAGATAATATATGATTAAGGAGGAACAGTGAATGAGCAGATATGGTTTCCTTCCCTCCAAACTTCTTTTATGATTTTTGGCATGTTACTATCTGCATAGACCATCCCCTCCTATTATATTACTGGCACAAGTGTATTTCTTTTCACTCAGTCCAGGGAGTTGTGCCAGGAGAGGAAGAGATCATTTGGTCTTTTTCTATAAAATACTTAGGTTCTCAGGCTACCTCTGTTCCTGTCTGGGTAACTTAGAAGTAATGCATTTCTGAAATTAAAATTTGTAAATAAGTGGTAGAAGTAAAAATAACATGTGATCTTTGCTTTTCTCATTGTCAAATTAATGTCAATATTAGCCAAACAGCTAGAATAACATTCCATCATTATACTGAGAGTTTAGTTTCTTCTTTTTTTTTTTTAAAAAAAAAAGAGGACTATAATTTCCAAGATGATTTCCTTAAAAAAATTATGGAAAAGTTCTAATAAGAAGATTAATTTGAAGAAAATGAGATGAATAAAGGGCAAAGACAAGATATAATCCGTGTCAGATGTTACAGCACTGGGGCTTCCAGTACAGACTTTTATCTTTGACACTTCCTTATCTAGAGGTTCTTTTCTATCATCTCTGCCTCACTCTCACCTCCCTCCATTTTTACTTTGTAGGAATTGGGCTGACCCCTTGGGAAAATACGTAAAAATTCAACAGTAGTGAGGCAACTTTAGAAAGCCAGTCTACAAAGAAAGAAAAATAGCTCGATTGGTCAGGCAGTGTTATAATACCAAGTCAAGGGTTCAGATCCCCATGCTGACCAGCTGCCAAAAAAAAAAAAAAAGAAAGAAAGAAAGAAAGAAATGTACATTTATAGAAAATACAGATAAGAGAGACAAGGGTGAAAATATTCCTTGGGTTGTGGATGGTTTTCCATTTCTTATTTCTAACTCCTTTGTATAACCTGGCTGCCTTTTTGTCTTTGGGTTTCATGACTGAAATAAATATCTTCTTTTTTCTTTAAGTGATGTCAAGTCGGTTTTTGTTTCTTGCACTTACCATATTAAAACAACAAACCTTCCACTATTTTTACCTATGGGAATGTATCTCATGCTCGAAAATCTACTAGTTCAGTCCACTAGCTAAATATTCACAACTCCTGGAATTCGACTTTTCTCCTCTTTGTATCTAGGTATATACACGAGCATATAATGCTATACTACCACATAACACTTAATAGTAGATACCATAATAGAATAATACATTATATATTACAGCCTGTAACATTATAAGATTAGTGATTCAGTTCCAATAGAGTTAATTCATGCCCAAACTTCTGGCTACTACAATTTTCAAGTTCTATAAAATAAGTTTAATTTAAATAAAGGATAATACAAATGTTATGTGTTTCAGAATAATTTACCTATAATAGGATTGCTAAATAAAATACAGGAAGCCCAGTTAAATTTAAATTTCAGATAAACCATAAATAGTTTTTAGTAAGTATGTCCCAAATACTACATGGGACATTTACATGGGATAGCAAAAAATTATTAATATAATAAATGTTTTTATTTGCTAAGTTTGGCAACCCAAACCTATAAATAAAAGAATTAATTCAGATCATTCTTACCTGTGTTTTTTGTGATGTTTTCTCTAGGAATATCAATCAACCAGAAAACCCGATCACCGAACTTGAATAAAGAAAACATCAGAAAATAATATTTTACAAAGTTAATAGCAACATTTATTTTGGTATATTACACCCTATCTTTTTTTTCTGTTGACATTAAAAGCAATATTCTTTATTTAGTAGCATTTTTTTCTCTTGAATACATTTCATTTCACACATACATGGGTATAATGTAAGAAAATTCCTAACAGTGAAATTTCTGGGTGAAGGGTATGTGCATTAGATGTTTCAACTTAATTTTATGTCTTAAAAGATAGGGTTATCTATCATCCAATGCATACACCTTTAAAACATCCAATGCACATACACTTTACCCAGAAATTTCACTGTAAGGAATTTTCCTATACTCATATATGTGTGAAATGAAATGTGTCTAATATTTTTACATCAATGTTTGTAATAGCAGAAGACTAGAAATAATGAAAATGATCATCAGTTATGTATAATAATATAGCCACATAATGGACTACCATACAGCCAAGGTCAGGTAGCACAAAGATGAAGCATTGCCAGCTTGATGTGTCAGAGGACAGAGCTTGGGGTTGGCAGAGCATTTGGGAATTTAAGAGGAAAATCCCAGGAACAAGGGAAATGCAAGAATGGTGAGCTCTAAGATTTAAATATAAACTATGCCCAAATCATTGAGCAACGCAGGTGCAGAGGACATCCCCAAAAGACCAGATTTAAAAAATCAGCAACGGAAGCTAAAATAACTGAGCAGAGATATAAGTTGCCAAAACCACAGATAAGACAGTTTGCAGTTCTTTTTTTTTTTTTTCTTCCCTTTTTTGTCTTTTTTACTGACCGGTAACAGGATCGCAACCCTCGGTGTCGTGCCCACACTGCGCTCAGCCAGCGAGCGGGAACCGGTCTCCACATGGGATCCGAACCCTCGGCGGGAGCGCCGCCGCACTCCCAAGTGGCACACTCTCCAGTGCGCCACCGGGCCGGCCCGACAGTTTGCAGTTTTTGCCAAGGCAAGTTATCTGCCTTTTAGAATAACAACAATAATAGCAATTTCTCAGAAGAACATAACAAAATCCAGAGTTGCTACAGCTTATTATCTTAAATGGCCTGTTTTCAACAAAAAAATGACAGGACATAAAAAGAAACAGGAAAGTGTAACTTATACTTAGGAAAAAAGGGTAAACTGACTCAGAGTGAGTCCAGATAACAGACAAAGATTTCAAAGCAGTTATTATAAATACGAATGTAGATTTTCTAAAAATGATGTTCTAATGAGGAAATGGATAGAAAATCCCAACACAGAAATAAAAAGTAAAACCAAGTGGAGATAAGAATAGAGCTGAAAAGTATAATATCTGAAGTGAAATATTTACTAAATAGGTTCAATAGATTGGAGATGGCAAAAGAAAGAGTAAGTGCACTTATAGATATAATAATTAAAATTCCCAGTATGAAAAAAGAGGAAAATGATTAAAGAAAAATGAGCAGTCTTAGAGCCCTGTGGAAAAATATCATGTGTTCCAAAATGTGTATAACTGGAGTCCCAACAGGAAGAGAGACAGAGTAAGGAGCAGAAAATTTGGGGGGGAAATAATGGCCAGAGACTTTCCAAATTTGGTAAATTTACAATCCAAGAAGCCCAAAGAACCCCAACTGGGTAAATACAAAGAGAAAATATTAAAAGCATCCAGAGAAAAATGACACATTACATAGAGAAGACAATAATAAAATTAACAACAGATTTCTTGTTCAGAAACAATGGTGCCAGGTGACGTTAGAATGACATATTCAAAATGCTGAAAGAAAATGAAGTCAACAAGAACTTTTTTTTTTTTTTTTTTGTGACTGGTAAGGGGATCGTAACCCTTGGCTTGGTGTCGCCTGCACCGTGCTCAGCCAGTGAGTGCACCGGTCCTACATAGGATCCAAACCCACGGCCTCGGCGCTCCCAGTGCCTCTGCACTCCCAGTGCCGCACTCTCCCGAGTGAGCCACAGGGTCGGCCCCAACAAGAACTTCTGTATCTGACAAAACTATCCTTCAAAAATTCAGGTGATCATTAAAAACCTATTAGAACCCACAAATGAATTCAGCAAGTTTTCAGGATACAAAATCAATGTACAAAAATAAATTATATTTCTATATACTTGCAGTGTGCAATCTGGAAATGAGATTAAAAAAGCAATTTCCTTTATGATAGCATCCAAAAGAATAAAATATTAGAAATAAATTTAACAAAAGAGGTATAAAACATAATACTCTGAAAACTATAAAACATTGTTGAAAGAAACTAAAGAAGATCTAAATAAGTGGAAACATGTCCTATGTTCATGAATTAGAAGACTTAATATTATTAAGATGTCAATACTGTAAATACAAATTTATTTACAGATTCAACACAATCCTTATGAGAATNAACCCTCAGCGGGAGCGCCACCGCGCTCCCAAGTGGCGCACTCTCCAGTGCGCCACCGGGCCAGCCCCTAAAAATGATGTTCTAATGAGGAAATGGATAGAAAATCCCAACACAGAAATAAAAAGTAAAACCAAGTGGAGATAATAATAGAGCTGAAAAGTATAATATCTGAAGTGAAATATTTACTAAATAGGTTCAATAGATTAGAGATGGCAAAAGAAAGAGTAAGTGCACTTATAGATATAATAATTAAAATACCCAGTATGAAAAAAGAGGAAAATGATTAAAGAAAAATGAGCAGTCTTAGAGCCCTGTGGAAAAATATCATGTGTTCCAAAATGTGCATAACTGGAGTCCCAGCAGGAAGAGAGACAGAGTAAGGAGCAGATAATTTGGGGGGGAAATAATAGCCAGAGACTTTCCAAATTTGGTAAATTTACAATCCAAGAAGCCCAGAGAACCCCAACTGGGTAAATACAAAGAGAAAATCTTAAAAGCATCCAGAGAAAAATGACATATTACATAGAGAAGACCATAATAAAATTAACAACAGATTTCTTGTTCAGAAACAATGGTGCCAGGTGATGTTAGAATGACATATTCAAAATGCTGAAAGAAAATGAAGTCAACAAGAACTTCTTTTTTTTTTTTTTTGTGACTGGTAAGGGGATTGTAACCCTTGGCTTGGTGTCGCCCACACCGTGCTCAGCCAGTGAGCACACCGGTCCTACATAGGATCCAAACCCACGGCCTCAGTGCTCCCAGTGCCTCTGCACTCTCAGTGCCGCACTCTTCCGAGTGAGCCACAGGGTCGGCCCCAACAAGAACTTCTGTATCTGACAAAACTATCCTTCAAAAATTCAGGTGATCATTAAAAACCTATTAGAACCCACAAATGAATTCAGCAAGTTTTCAGGATACAAAATCAATGTACAAAAATAAATTATATTTCTATATACTTGCAGTGTGCAATCTGGAAATGAGATTAAAAAAGCAATTTCCTTTATGATAGCATCCAAAAGAATAAAATATTAGAAATAAATTTAACAAAAGAGGTATAAAACATAATACTCTGAAAACTATAAAACATTGTTGAAAGAAACTAAAGAAGATCTAAATAAGTGGAAACATGTCCTATGTTCATGAATTAGAAGACTTAATATTATTAAGATGTCAATACTGTAAATACAAATTTATTTACAGATTCAACACAATCCTTATGAGAATNTAAGATGTCAATACTGTAAATACAAATTTATTTACAGATTCAACACAATCCTTATGAGAATTCCAGCTGGCTATGTTGTAGAAAATGACAAGCTTATTGTAAAATTCATATAGAAAGTCAGGGCACCCAGACTAGTAGAAACAATCTTTAAAAAGAAAAATAGAGTTGTAGGACTCCTGCTTCCTGATTTCAAAATATACTACAAAACATCAAGACAACATAGTACTAGCAAAAGGATAAACACATAGATCAATGAAACAGAAATGAGAATCCAGAAATAAACCCTTGCATTTATGGTCAACTTATTTTCAGTGAAGGTGCCAGAACAATTCAATAGGGAAAGAATAAGTATCTTTTTAACAAATGGTTTTAGGAGAGTTGGATATCCACATGCAAAAGAGTGAAAGTAGATCCCTACCTCACAGCATATAGAAAAATGAACTCAAAATGGATCAAAGACCTAAATATAAAGCTAAAACTACAAACCTCCTTAAAGAAGACATAGGGGTAAATCTTTGTGATCTTGGATCAGGCAATAGTTTTCTATATTTGACACCAAATGCCCAAGCAACAAATAGATACAGTGGACTTCATAAAAAAAATTTTATGTATCAAAGGCACTATGAAGAAAGTGAAAAAACAACCTGCGGATGGGAGAAATTATTTGCAAACCATATGTCTGATAAGGAACTTGTATCTAGAATACATAAGAACTTCTGCAATTCAGTAATAAAATTAAGTAACCAAATTAAAAATGGGCAAAGATTCT